GCCATTGTTGATGGTCGATAACATTCGAATATTGTTTCAATTTCATCAAAATCATCATCAACATCGTCATAAATAAATTCAACGGAATTTCTGACGACAGAAATTTCTTTTGATAATGATGACATTGCCAAAAGGACAAAATCAAAATCAAGTCAAACCAAATTAGAAAAACAAACAAAAACATTCAATTTTTTAAAAATCGAAAGTTTAATCAACAAAGTTTTCTGTTGTTTTGTTTTGTTGCAAATCGAAAAATTTAGCAACGGTTAGTGCACGTTCATAAAGTACGTAATCAAATTTGTTCTTTGAATTTTATTTTTCAAATTTTCAAATTTTTGTTCGCGCCATTTAAAAATTTTCAATCGATTTTCATTTTATTCATTTTACTCATCGAAAATCATCCGAAATAAAGTTATTTTTTTTTGTATTTTAAAAACAAAAGAACAAAACATATGTCCATCCAGCCAGACAAACAAACAGTCAAACAATTCAGAGTGGGATAGTTTAGGAAAAAAAGGGGGTTGAAAAAAGGCACCAAAAATTTGTATGATGATTCAGGGAAAAAAAATTATTGAAAAAAATCCTGGATCATCATTGTTGTTCATCATCACCCGAACCGGTAATCAATTTGATATATGAATCAATATTGAAACGACCTTTTGAATCGACATGTGCTTCAGCAAATGCAGTATCCAATTCTTCATCAGTTAATTTATCACCAAAACGTGTTAAATTTTTTCTCAATTCTTCAACATTAACCATACCGGTTTCAAATGGATCAAATGTTTTGAATGCAGCTTTGATTACATCCGGATTATCGCCACCTAAAAAACAGGGAGAAAAAACATTAGATTTCGGAACAAACAAAACGAAAATCTCATCAAAAAACCAACCAGCAATACGTTCACCAAAAATCGATAAAAACATTGTAAAATTCAATGGACCAGGAGCTTCGCTCAGCATATTTTGCAATTCATCATCCGGATAAACTCGACCTGATT